AATACTTGCTGAATTCCCCAAACATTCAGCTTTCATATGCATCTTTCTGATTCATTCTATGCTATTATAGTTTTCGAGAAAATCAATGAAATGTGAAAACAATGCTTTTTCGAATCTATAATCGCATGTAATTCAATTAGATTTTGTTTCTTTACTTCTTTTAACAAAAAATATGTATTATGAAGATCAACTAATTGGTATGGTTGTGGGAAATGGAGAAATCATGCAAATTTCATTTGTATTCTGCTCTAGGTTGAGTAAATTTATTTAGCGTAAAAATAATGGTTTCGAATAACAAAAAAGATAACGTGTTAGAATTATTATCCATGTATTTTTAATATTGTAAGTAAATTGGCAAATACAAAACAAAACTACACATATACATAGTTGTGATCTCTACACAAGTGAATATTTTATTTATACATAGCATAGGTACACAAAGATAATTTAATTTATTAATTAATAAACCTAGCATCATATTTATAATATATAATATAAGTTTTGATGTGTGGTCTACGCATTTTACATAGCTGAGTGTGTTGGGGGGTGAGGGGGACCGAACGAACGATTGCCGACAAAACAACAACGCGACATTTATATCTAATGTCTTAATTGTGTTTGAATCTCTCTCTGTGTCTCAGTCTGCGGAGCACTCAATCCGCACTTGCTCTCAGGGAAGAAAACTTTCCACGCGATTCTTAACGCATCGACTTACTGGAAGGAAAATTCACCCCAAAAAAAAAATACTTAAGAAAAAAAGAGGAGAGACGAATATGAGCAGTGCGGACACGCGCGCACCCAAACAATCGCAGGATCATAAACCAAACACCAAAAAAAAAAGGGAAAAAAATACAAAATATAATAATAATAATAATTAAACACCTCAGTCGATGAGACCGTACAAATTTTAGGTAAACTTAACATTTACCCAGAAGGAAACTACATCTTACGCGAATTGATGGAACTAGAACAATCGATTGAATTTTGTTTCTTTGTTTTGTATTATAAAAGAGATTTCAAGTGTTTTCGTGTTTATGTGTGTGTGTGATCCGGTATGGAAACAGAAAGAAAAAAAAATACCTGAAAAGCCTTCACGTACATTATATCATTATATTTACAAGATTTCAATTATTGTTTGTCTGTTTGTATTATCATATTAATTATTATTTTTTTTGTGTGTCTGCTGAGAAAAGAACGCACGAAATAATTAAAAAAAAAATAAAATAATTACATACATATTTGTGTATATATATTTATACATACATAAATATCTTTGTTTTAGTATTATTCCGCCTCCACTGAAAACTTCGCCTCATTGTAATCATGTTAAAAAAAACGCACATTATTTTTTAAAAAGAAAAAACCCTCAAAAAAAAAACTAAAATAAATTAATCGTTTTTTTTTATTATTAATTAATTTTTCTTCAAGTTATGTAAAAGAACGAAACTTCTTTATATAAAGCACACGTTAAAAATTGGGCAAAAATAAAACTAAAAGTCCATATATTCTTCGCCGGAAAAAAAAAACACATCGAAATAAATAAAAGAAGGTAGTAACTAAATATATCAAAAACCGAAATAAACCGAACCACTGTTTGTTTGTTTGTTTGGGGGGGGGAGAGAAAAAATATTTATAAACAGAACATTTAAATTTAAATAAAAAAAAATAATAATAATAGTAACTGAAGTTTTCATCAATTAAAAAAAAGAAATAATAATAATAATTAATAAGTAGTAGTGGTTTCTTTGCATTCAACGGTCGTCCTTCATATTCAAAGCGAAGTGATCAGGGTTTTTAGCAAAATTGTTTTCGAGTTTCATTCTTCCTTTCCGCTATTGTTTTCTCTTTTTTTTTAATATATAATATTTTTTTTGTCTCGCATTTGTTATGTTTGTTTTTTTTTGTTTGTTTGTTTTGCGGTAGCTTCCCTTATGATTGGTTCCAGTAAGAATTTGGATAACCTTGTTTCGCGCCAGATTTTTGCTGATTACTCGCCTGAGTCCTTTGGCCGGTGCTATTGCCGGAATCCTGAAACACATACAATTACCCATACACTCAATTAACGTAACTCTCCACGACATAGAAAAAAAAAAGCAGCTCTACTAGTTTAAGGAAGGAAAAAAGAGAATATTAAAAATACGGAGAACAATCGCATAATATAACAGAAAGAAGCGAACGAAATGAATATCAATTACTTTAAAAAGCGACAGTACTAACGGATTAGCAAAAAGAAGAAAAAAAACATTAGTGCGTTATATAATTATTGTAACACTCAAGAATATTTTGAATTTAAGTTTTTGCTGCTATATGTGAAGATATTATTGTAATTTTAAATTGGTTGAAGCACGGCATTGTGTGTGACTTACCATGCGTCGGCCTTGGTGCCGCACTTCCATCTACAAGCAAAACAAAACCTGGATAACCAAAGAAACAAAGAACATGCTCTTCAGCAAGTGTAGTAGAGAATAAAATCTAATTTAAACTAACCGCTAAACAGTAGTCTCTATAACCTAGTATTAAATATACTCAAAAGTGCAATTCGCATGTGGAAAAATATACTTGATTTTATAAATATATAACAATGGGACGTAACAGTGTACTATATTAGTATTCTCTATACATTTACTTATACTCGACGTTGCGGTATTACATAATCAACTATTGAAACTCACTAATTGCATGCTTGCCTTAAAAAATTCATCTTAATATATCCAGAAGTGTCATTTAATTTCTGCAATATTTATTGGAAAAAACTCACTTTATTATTAACTATAAAGAACTTCTACTAATTTCAATGATTTTCTACATAAACTATATAAATTATTGCAAATATTTGGAGAATTTCTGAATATAACGTTACTTTTTTAAATATCTAAAGAATTGCAAATAAATTGGAAAATATGCATTAAAAAAAAATCTAATAGACATGCAAATATAAAATTTAAATAATAGATCAAAGCTATATAAAATAAGAGCTTGTTAGACAAATTGAAAAGTTTAAAATAAATTCAACGATGTTTATCTGAGGGGGAGGGGGGATTCAATAATTTACCTGATGCAAAGGTTGGTGTATCAGCTGAGTCGAATGTTGCTGATGTGGCATTGTTGGGATGTACATCTGCGGTCCGTACCCTGTGCCGCTCGGTGCCAACGCGCTTTGACCCAAAGCACCAGTGAAAGGCGGAGGAGTTCCTGAATGGAAACCCTGCTTCTCGTACGACTGTAAAGCAACGAGACGTTTCAAAAATCGTGTACATTTTTGGCATAAAACAATATTTTTATATAAATATTGTATAATCAGTTTGCCGAATCATCTAATGAGTGTATTACCAAATCCAATAAAATTAATTTGCTGTCGACAAAAAACTTGTCGAACGCGAGAGCAAGCTAACTTTTGTGAAAAACGGTGGCACTCTCAGTCTCGTCATCGAATCATCATATTATTAATTCATAAGAATAGGGAAATGTAAAAGTTCCAGATTTTGGTAGAAAACTTACATTTACTTTTCCTAGTGCCGTATGGGATTTTCCGTACATAGCGCTCATCGCATCGTTTGCGGCATTTCCAGTCGTTGAAGCGTTCGCTCCTGCTCCCTTTGCTGGACCTTGTGTATTTCCCACGTATCCGCCCTTATTATACTCTTGAGATTGGCTCAACGTGTCGTAACCGGACGTATAACTGGAACCGTAAGTACCTGGCTTCGGATACTGGGCACTATTACTGGATCCATGAGCATTGGTACCAGTTGGTATTTGCTAAAATAACATTATTAAACGTATAAAATTACATGTTACAACTTTTACTGTTTATTATAGAAATGTTTTTTCTTTGAAATATTGCAATTTTCGTTATTTTATAAATTATTTAAAATTTGAATAAGATAAAATTTAAAAAAGAACATGTAATTAATATGTACCTAGTTTGCATGCAAAATCGATCAATACAACAAGGCCAAACAAAATAAGATGGTGGTGGTGGTAGTAGTTGAGAATAATAGAAAGTGCTTTATGTACTTACGGAAGTGTAGACGGCACCGAATTGATAGCTTGGTTGCATAGGGTTGTAGGGCGCAAAGAAGTAAGGTCCAGTGGTCCCCGCGAGCATGGGCTGCGTGCTGGTCTGCGTCGATGGAACCGGACTGGCGTTGCTGTCCGTCCTCGTGAATCGGCCATCGGAAAGGGAGTAGTTTCCTTCCCGCAGCGTCGTTGTCGGCGTCTGGTAACTCATCTCATAGAACGGTGTCGTCTGCGCGCACAAAACCACACCGGTCACTCATCCACCGGCCACCACACATATATAGATAGAGAGATGGGACACAAAGAAAACATCGCAGCCCCCGCGGAATTATTATGCATTTTTCCATTTGAAATAGCCATCGATCTTTTCCGACTTGACTTGACTTTTAATGACATTTAATGCGCCTTTTTAGTGCGTGTTAGACTTGTGTACAATTCCTTCTAGACATGACGGGTGAGTGAGTCAGGTGAGCTTTGTAACACGAACTGTTATCCACACATATCATACAACATTCACACAGCAAAATGATACAAGCGAATATACGCATCTCAGTTTGATCAAAAGGCCTCGCAACTCGATTACGGCTGCAAGCCACATATGCTTATATCATATATCATGGGTGGTGTTAGCATTGTGTAGTCATTAGTAAACATTAGTCATATTATATGAATCGTTGTTACGCCTTTTGATCAAAATTAAACATTCACTAGATATTAACACCTTTCATGGAGACAATTTCGACTACATTCAAATGTTAACATCACGTATATATTACATATAAAAAAAAGCATTTAAAAAACAATAGAAATTGAACATTACAACTTACTCATAATATATTATATAATCTTCTATAATATATTCTATAAGAACATTGTAAATGTGCATTTCCACCATTCACACACAAAAAAAAATGCGAACATAAAATATCCTGAATCCGTGTAAGGAACAGTAAGATATAGTAAGCAAAAGAAAATCATTCAAACATATTTAGGACTTTAAGCAAAATAATGAAAAATGAATTTATACTCAATACCAATTTCCATAAAAAGCAAAAAGCACAAGTAGTTATACATAATATAGAGAATTGTTAAATTTCTATAGTGTCTTACCATGTGAGGTATCCTCTGCTGCATCATCTGCATTTCCTCGTATGAATACATGGGAGGTTGGAAATATGGCATTTGACCCATGATGTATTGCGTGCTCATCACTGGAGCAGCACTTGGTGGTATGTTGGATACTACACTACTCTTCGCTGAAACAAATAACAAATAGAATCGGAACTTCTCGTTAATTGTAAATATATGTACCCAAAGTAGTGTTGGCTTTGGTCACGGAGGTTGTCGTTTGCGTCAATGCAAGCCCGGCAGTTGATGATGTCGTCGTACCGGACACGCTACTAGTTGCAGCCGTATTATTATCATAACTGCCAGACGTATCTTTGACCAATTTGTGGTTGGAATTGTATGAATTATATTGCGCAGATGGTGCGTTGCTGCTTCCACTATAATTTGTACCGCTATTTAGTCCAGTATTGGCACCATACACTGATTGACTAGCATTCTGCTGGTAAGCCTGATTGGAGGTAGGGTAATTGTTTGCTTGAGATATCGAGGGGAAAGCAGCTCCTCCACTACTGTTACCAGCAGTTGGTCCAGTACTTGCGTTCGCAGATTGATAAGAGTTTGTGGCTGCATACGTATTTTGGTACGCAGATCCTCCAGCATTTACACTTTGTGAATTATATGCGGACGCATCACTGTTCGTATAACTGTTAACAGCTTGTTGCTGCTGAGCTACGTACGAACTCGTCGTCTGCACGCCGCTATTGTAATTGGAAGACGCCGAACTGTACGTCTGATTTTGATAGGACGTTGATTTGGCAGCGGCAGGATACGAGTTGTACGTACTTGGTTGAGAATACGATGATTCCTGTTTCATGTCCATACTACCCGTGGGAACACCAGCCGCAGCAGAGGTTGCATTGGTAGCACGTTGTTGTTGTTGTTGCTGCTGCTGCTGTTGGGTTACAGTCGTCGAATTGTAGTCATTCGTTTGTTGAGTGGGAATGGTGTCTGTACTCGACAAGTTCTGTGTCAATGCCGAGCTAATACTGTTTTGTGCACTAGGTTTCTGAGGCGAGTACGCATCCAAAGGCGATGATGTCGTAGTATTTTGCGCGTTGAGATCTATGTTACTGTTCTGGCCAGCCGACACAGTACCATCCAACGGTGTTGCATTTGAATACTTCGATTCCGACACTCCATCGAATGAACTATCAGACATCATATCCATGGCTCCGAATTGCAGATCTAAATAACCAATACTACTATTCAAATCTCCAGGCATCTCGACTGCACTAGCTGGAATCTGCAGAAGCGAATAATTACATGATTACTATTGAATGCGATTGTAAAAATATATTATACCTTTGAAGGAGGAGGTACCCTCGCCCTTTGAGTTTTAGTCCTCACTGGCGGTTGTTGTTGTTGCACAACAGGCACTGGCTCAGGATTGCCATAAGATCCACCGTAGGCGGCAGTTCCATAGGCGTTCGTGGACTGGTACTGTTGATTACCATAACCACCAGCGGACACTTGTTGGGGTTGCTGTGGCGGTGGTGCTTGTTGTTGACCACCATACTTCGACATATCAGTAGCACTGTTTTGCTGGGTTAATTGACTGAAGTATTGGGTTTGGGCGGCGTTCAAAGCTCCAGTTAGGGTCACTGGAGAAGTTTGAACAGTCTGTATCTGAGCCAAAATATCCATATTCTCTTGGAGACTATTAATCAAATTGGCAGAATTGTCCATCGGCGTTGTCCCTAATTAACAAATACAATTATTAGTGTTATCCTATATATATATATTCTTGTTGTTGTTGATATAACGTTATAAAGATCAGTCTGCCTAAATAATCTTAGAGATATAGTAAGGTTTTTCCGCAATTGTTACATACAAAGAACATGCATTATAACATACAGAAAATACGTTAAAATATCCTCAGTCTCGTCATCGAATCATCATATTCATTATAACAATAATTAAATTTAAGTTTTCTTTTTAAAAAAAATAATTCAAAAATTACCTATTTTTGGTTCCGGTTCAGCGATGGTTTCAGGCGGTTGACTTGGCGTGAACACCTTCGTCTCATCCAAAGTGCCACACCATTCGTCCGCACCAGGAAACTCGTCCCAGTTTTCCTCGGTGTGATTCGATGGATTGTTGGAGTCCCATTGGTGAGAATTATCCCACGTTTCCATCGGCCGACTGTTGTTGAAAGTACCACCGGCGCCGCCGCGACTGCTGCGTGGAGGATACCTGCCTCCAGCACGACCACCGCCTCTACCACGCCCACCACCGCCTCCTCGCGTAGAACCGCCGACACGTCCACGTCGATCGCGTCCACCATCCTCCAAGTTACGCTCGTTTTCCTATAATAACATAGATGTAATAAGAAACCCCGGTACGTCTCACAATGTATGTCATAAATTAGACATTACAAATCAAATCAGTTTGCCAGTATGCATCTTCGACCCAAAAATCATACGTTCTCTCTTCGAAACGAAATGTAAAAAACTCACATATTATCGTTTTGAAAAAAGAAAACTTCAATTTAAGGATCTATGTCTCGTCATCGTTTCATCATTTTGATTGTAGTGTTTAACAGTTAGACCTCGATTAACATTAACAGACTTAATAGTTAATTAAGTCTGTCTTTTGTTGCACCAATGTCAAGTTATTAGTATATTTAAAACAAAATATAATTAACTAACTGGATATGAAAATATAAGTCCAGAACTAACTGTTTTTTTTTTCTTTCTTCATGCTTAATTATGTATGAATTATTTACTTGTTTCTCACGACCCCTCCATCCACGACTGTCGTTGTGTCTACCGTGAAGACGCTGTGGACCACCGGCTTTGTTTCGCGCCTTATCTTTGTCGGCGCCGCCTCCGCTATGTGCTTGTGCTTCGTTCCAGTCGTCGCCGGTGCCACCAGAAGTCCCACCGTCCGCTTTCTGATCAGCCTTGCTGCTGGACTGCTGCCTGCTCTTCTTTTTCTTCACAGTGGTTTCCCATTCATCCTGCCCATCGATAACACACAAACAATCAATAAAGATAACACGATGAACATTTAAAAAAAAATATAGCTTTCACATACCTGATCTTCTATTTCGAAAAGCATATTCACAGCACTGTCCAAGTCATAATCACATTCGTGCAGAGCTAAGCACACCTGCTCCTCAGATTTCTGGGTGAGTTCAATGATCTGACGGATTTTTAACTCATTGGCCTTGGCGGTGCTATCGCCTCCACCCCACACACTCGCTGGCTGCTGTTTGTGATTATCACCGGAACTTCCCTTGCCACCACCTCCGGACTCAGCCGATTTATCCATTTTGTGCTGTGCCTGTGTCTTGTCTTGCCCTTTCGAACCTTTGCTTCCACCCCGAGAGGCGGTTCGATTACTCGAACTCATCTTTACACTATGTACAGGTTAGTTATTTACAACGATTCTGAAACACAAATAACCACTATTAAGACCCAATGCGATGACTCTACAATGCTTTGTTGAAATTTGATGATTAATCAGATTGCCGAAAATAATCTTCGCACTGTTTTATACTTGTATTTGGTATGTGAGCAAGAAGTACGAAAAACTCATAAATCAAAGCATCACCAAATACATTCTAAAACAGCACTCATTCTCGTCATCTTATCATCATTTGTGTCGCCTTCTACTGCTCAATAAATACATAATATATGACACATACACTCATTGTTAGTTCACTGCCGTAGGTAAAGGTAATTAATGAAATATTCCTAGATAATGTGTATGTAATATTTCCGGTGGATGGAGCGAATTTTGGATAACGCTTAGGGAAGAACACGTTTTATAGGTTAAAAATGCGCCTTTAAATGGGTAAACACGGAAATAATAAGTGCATCCTCGAGATTTCCGTAGACGAGATCCGATCCGAGGACGGACTGCGTTCACGCCTTCAAACGAAGGATTATATATGGAGTTTATTTTGATGAGCAATCCTTGGGCGACAAAAAAAAAATGTAACCTATGCTAATGTGGCGTCGCGGATGAAAAATCTTGGAAACCCGAGTCTAGTGTGTGGAAAATGCCGCCATCGTCGCGAACGAAAAGCGCCCGGAGGTTTTCTCGTCGACGGGAAGATGGAAATGCAGAGAGGATTTAAAATAAAAACTTACATTATCCGCATCCAGAAATAGAACTAAAACGACGGTGCAGGCAGCGGCCCTGACTGTATGAGTGTACACGAAAACGAACGCGAATGAATAAGCGAGAATGTGTGAGTGAGTCCGTTGTTCATGTATATGTCTGTGTGTGTATGTATGGACGCGTCTGAGATTGTGTGTGTGTGTGTGTGTTGCAAGCAAACACTGGATGGATGAGAGGAACTACAACACACAGCTCGGAAAAAATGATGGAAGGGCTCTTGGCCAAAAACTGGGCTTCAAGACACACCGAATTCAACGTTAACTCGTCGACGTTCCTCCCTTTTTTTTTTTGTACACGAAACAACAATTATTCTAAATGATTAAAGAAGTTTTGAGGCCATACCTGTAAAAGCCGTGATACACAACGCAGCTCTCGTATTAGTCACGTGACAATCTCTCGGTCAAAATGGCCGGCGCGCATCGACGCACCAGCGTTGCCAACGTAACCAAATTTACTTTCAATTCGACATCCATCCAACTTTCTTCAACAGTTACATAAGTCACAAATTGCGAAACGAAAACCCTCCCCTGAACCGCATGCATTTACTGCTGATCGCACGCGAAATATCGATTAAATCAATTAAATTAACGTAACGCCGCATATTTTATAAAATACCTTAAGAGCCTTCAGGGAAAAAAATATGGTTATACATTGGTAACGTGTTACAACGGAATGGGCAGATAAAAATTGTTATCGTCCTAATGATAATTAGAAAGACTTCGCCTTGGATTGAATACATTAATAGGAGATACCAACTTGATATTTTCATTCGAAGATAACTTCGGTGCATTTCAGTTGAAAATTTTTTTTTTAGCAACATTAACCTTAAATTATAACTCGAAATCCAGCTGAAAATGTTGTCTCCTGCTAGTGGTACCGGACAATTCTATGCGAAATCAGCGAAAATCATTAGATTTGTACGTTATGGATGCACGAATCGGCCCTTCTTTCACATAGTTGTTACCGAGGTACGAAAATATTCCTATTATTACATATTATTAATTCTGCTGAAAGTATCCCATTTCCTGTACATTTATTAGTATTTTTGTATTGATACTTTAGTAAAATATTACTAGAATTAGTATACTTTAATACCAATTTAATAAGATAAAATGATCTAAAAACGGTTATTCTGTTATTTAAATTTTAGTATATTCAAACATTTATTAAATCAGTATATGAACTAACTATTATATCAAGAAAGTATACAACTTAATTTTTTTTTATATTGAACAGTTATAGTTATGAATTTGTACTTTTTTATATAAGTTTTTAAATACGTATATTTCATTAATAATTTATTGCACACATAATACAATGACTGCAGTCTTTTCGCGCGATATTTTTTTATTTAATGACTATTCAGAGATACTCATGATAATTTCGATGTTTGTAGTCACAAATCTAAGAAATTTTAGTAAATATTCAATATTTTAAATAAAGAAAGTTTCAATTTATTGAGTAAATAAATACATTTGAAATCCATAAAATTAAAATATTGATATTGAAAACTGTTATATATGTATGTTCAATATGCAAATCATAATGATATTGTTACTATTTTGGAATGCATTAATGATTACTCACTCGTGTGCATTCGTTGCAAAATCCTATCGATTACATAATATCAAAGCAAGAATGTTGTTAACTGTACGGAAATTGGAATTCTGGACACAGTGGAATATTGTTTGTTGTTGCTTTCATGGAGTCTCAGTTGTAGGAATTACATAATTCAATTGATTTTACATAACTTTATTTGTTACTTGGTCGATTTAAGATTTATTTGAGACTATGCTCATCATATTTAGACTATGTTCATCTTATTAAGGTTTTTACAAAGTTAATTCTTATTAATACGAGGTGAGAGTTGTGATCGGGAGTAGGGTTTGTATGATTCCCAAAGTGGTCTATGACAACCTGCAAGGGGTCTACGTCAGCGAAAAAAAAATTTGGAGGTCCATGAAAGACATATACATTATTTAGTTGCTAAAAATTTGAGCGTTAGATTGTATGAATCTCTTCAATTAGTCATTGAAGCAACGCGTTGAATACTTTCATCAATTACTCCTTCACCAAGATTTTGTGCACTTTTTGAGACTATTTTAGAATTTCTGGATACTAAAGATAAAAATAAATTTGATTAAAACAAAGTCCATCTTATCAGACGTTTCTTGCCAGTGTTAAACTAATGAAGCAAAATATTGGACGTGGCTAATTTTCCCCAGTTCCCCAATTTGTCACAGACAAACTGCCAGGAAGAGGACGTTTCAACAACCTACGTTCAACATTTAAATGCCCTCTATTCAGATTTAGAAACTAGGTTTGAGGACGTTTTGACTATGGTAATACCACCGTGGATAATTAACCCATATGGTGACATAGAAGAAACGAATGTCATAATACAAGAGGAACTGACTGAACTAAGTACAAACGAAGAACTTAAAATTCAGTTTAAAAACGGATATCTTCAATTCTGGCTTACTTATTCTGTATTATGAAATGTAGCAAGGAAATTTTTAATTTCCTTTCCATCGTCATACCTAGTGGAAAGCTGTTACCAATCTCCTAACGAAAAAAAAAGAAACAGACTGGACATCATTAGCCCAGGAGATTTTAGATTAAACCTTACAAAATTGACGCGAAATATTGATAATTTATTATTAAAGCATCAGGTTCATCCTTCTCACTAAAAACACTTACTTATTGCTTAGTTTATTTTATGTTACGTATATTTTATATAACAGAGACAAAAAATTATTTTGAGTAGTTTTAATTTATATATATAAAACTTAACATCTGTTTTTACTTTAAGTTTTTAACACTAAACTTCACTACAGTTAGAAATTTACAAAAAAATCAATATCAGGTAAGTAGGGGGTCTACGACACAAACAAGTTTGGGAACCTCTGGTATATATTGATGGTTTTGTTTATTATAAGACCGGGACAAAATCCTATGCATTTGTTGCATTATATGAAAAAGATGATCGATTACGATTGTACATGTAATGATCATTAAGTGTTTATAATTAGGACTTGAATTCGGAGTAAAGGTATAGAAGTATCGATGGGAATGTTTACGCTTGGTCCCCTTTGTTTATATTAAAGTGTATCGAACTGGAATCACGGTAGAGATTCCTTTATACTTAAGTTTATATAATAATGCGACTAAGAGACGCCGTGGATGTCTCTAGTTCGTTAATACACTATATTAACAATAATAATGGTTAGACACAACAACACTTATGATTTATAACGTGCTTGTTTTGAGTAGGGAGATTGACAGTTGTTGTCTGTAGTATTTTATTTTGTTGCTACTTCTCGAAATTATAATGAAAACATTATAAATGCTTGAACAATTATATAAAAACTGTATATTTACTTTTAGTTGCAAATTAGCTACTTAACTAATTTAACTAATTTGTATCTTTTTGTTGTAAAACTTATTCAAATACATATGTTTCGCCGCAAATAAGAATATGCATATTTAATGGAAACACTCATTAGAATATGAATACAAAATATTTGTTTATATACACTAATGTATATAAACAAATATTGTATTTAGTAAACATCTTTAAAAAAAAATATTTCAGTTCGTTTGAAAATCAATGTTATTTTATCAGGTCAAAAGAGGTCAGCACATGCCTGTAATCGAACAGTTAGGTGCCTTCGATCCAATTCCGAATCAAAACAACGAGAAACTGGTATCGTTGAATTTGGAAAGGA